ACGTGCTGGGGTGTACGGTTTAACCATGTCCTGGATGTAGGAAGGGCCAGATCCATTCGCAGCACGGTAAGCAAGTACCAGTGTCTTGAAGTGGATTCTAGCAGTTACCGGAAGCCAGTGAAGGGAGCGGAGGAGCGGAGTGGTGTGGGAGAATTTAGGAAGGTTGAAGACCAGACGAGCCGCTGCATTCTGGATGAGCTGCAGAGGTCGGATGGCAAATGCAGGTAGACCAGCCAGGAGGGAGTTGCAGTAGTCTAGGCGTGAGATGACGAGAGCCTGGACCAGAACCTGAGTCGCTTTCTGGGTCAGCTGGGGACGTATCTTCCTGATGTTGTAAAGCGTGTATCTGCAGCAACGGGTTGTAGCAGCGATGTTTGCAGTGAAGGACAGGTTGTTATCTAGGGTCACACCCAGATTCCTTGCAGTCTGAGTCGGGGAAACAACTGAGGTGCCGATGTTGATTGTTAGGTCAAGAGTCGGACAATCTTTTCCCGGGAGGAAGAGCAGCTCAGTCTTGTCAAGGTTGAGCTTGAGGTGATGATCAGACATCCACTGAGAGATGTCAGCTAGACAAGCAGAGATGCGTGCGACGACCTGGGTCTCTGAGCGGGGAAAGGACAGAATTAATTGGGTGTCATCAGCGTAGCAGTGGTAAGAAAAACCATGCGGGCTAATGACTGATCTGAGCGAGTTTGTGTACAGGGAGAAGAGGAGGGGACCAAGAACAGAGCCCTGAGGGACCCCTGTAGTTACACCTAAACATCAGCAGGAGAGGACTCTTTAAAGTAAAAAACTGCAGAAACTGAATCTCAGCTTTAAAGGTCCCGTGTCACGGCCATCTCTACTGATCATAGTTCCATTGTTGAGGTCGACTAGAATAGATTTAAATTGTTCAATGTTCCAAACTCACAGTGGTTTCTCACAGCATCTCTGTAAAGTGTGTGTATTCACTCTCTGTCCTACACGGCTTGTTGGAGCTCCTGCCCCCCCCCCCCCCCCCCCCTTCCCTGTGAGCCCAGTGTGCTCTGATCGGTCGGGACGTTGCGAGGAGCGGACAGGTTTCCGGGTCGGCGATACAGGAGAACAAGCGAAACTCATCCTGAGCACACAAACACTCACAGCCGAAGTAAAAACAATAAGTGTGGCTTGATATTGAGTAAGAAAAGGTTTATAACGCTGTGAGAATGGGTCTGCGGAGAGCATTCCTCCGCCATCCCAACAGCGTTCAGGGAGCTCTATGCAAGTCAATGGGACTCCCTGTTAGTTAGCCAAGGGATCCTGGTGTGTGAGGGGCTCCAAGGATTAGTCCATTTGGGCCAATCCGGTCATTTGCTGTTGATCTGGGTGTTCACACGTCACAGAACCCAGGAAGCAAGCCATGGAAAACTGAAGCTACTGTAACTCCAGCTTCTATGAGTATAGGTGTAGCCCTCTAAGGCTATCGCTATTGGGTAATGTGCTGCGCACCCTTAGAGGGTGAAGCCATATACAAAATAGAATGAGAAATGTCCAACGAGGCGTTCTGGGGCAGCACAGACAGGTCTTCTCTGTGTTAGAGTTTTACTCGCTACAGGGTGCACTTTGAGGGTCTGTGACTCTGCAGACCGTTTACATGCAGAAGCTACAGAACACAAGGGGACGGGTAGGGATGAAATGAGAAAGGGCCAGGGAAGTGTATTTTAAAGAGGAAGTTTAAAGGTCCTAGCTGCTGATTGGCTGAATGGTGACATCTGATTGGACCAACCAGTTGCAGTCAAGCACGCAGACGTGGAGTAAAGTGCGTCATCGTTAGCTGTGAGGAAACCGGATGTTTATACGTGGCTTTTAAGAAAATAAAAGCACAAACCTGGGCCCTTTCTCATTTCTCTAACTCCCCTCCTCGACTCCTATCCTCCATACTTAGTCCCACCCACAGGAGATGCGAGCGGAGGAGTCGAGGAGGGGAGCCGAGGAGAGAGGAGGGGAAGCAGCAGGCGGTTAGAGAAAAGAGAACTCCTCTCCTCTGAGCGGTCATTTTAAAGAGACGTCCATTAATGATGACAGGAGGCACAGCAGCCCTCTGTCTGATGGACAGATGTGTTCATGACCACTTATATATTTACTTTGAATTCATTCACAGTGCGGTGTAATGAGACAATAACAGGCTACAGGTGCAGACACACACACAACACACACACACACACACACACACACACACACACACACACACACACACACACACACACACACACACACACACACACACACACACACACACACACACACACACACACCACACACACACACACACACACACACACACACACACACACACACCACACACACACACCACACACACACACACACCACACACACACACACACACACACACACACACACACACACACACACACACACACACACACACACATGTATATATTTATATAAATATATACAATTTCAGAATCAAACAGAGCACTCTCATAATAACGTAACACTATCAGAGACTGGAAATATCGATCCTCGGTCCTCGAAGTGCATTTAGAGAAATGAGATGTCCTTCAACATGGCGCGCTGAAATTCATTTCCGGGTCACTACCGGAGGACCGAGGAGTCGAGGAGTCGAGGAGGGGGATTTGATGAAATGAGAAAGGGCCATTGTAATCCTTCAAATGTTTTGAGAATGGGCTGTAAAGTAAAACTGTTGATGTAATTCATGCCCTTTAACGTCATCCAGTTCAATTACAACAATACACACAGAGGATATCAAATACATATAAATATGGATTTATTTAGTTAAAGTGATATTCTCAGGAGGCCTTAGTTAAAATTATCTTTGACTGTCAACATGTATATATTGTTATGCTTTGTTTTAACCGTAGACTATACTGTTTGCTGCTGTTACGGAAAACTCAGCATTCGAGCTAAATATGGGGCTTCCTTATATTCTTAATTGTCTGAATAGCAAAACAAATAATATATAAATGTATATAGCTCTATATTAGGGATTTAAAGGTGCAACCAGGAAACGACCCCAGTAAGCCAGCTCACACTGTCCGCTCCTCCTCAAGCCTCAAAGGGCGGAGCAGCGAGCCCCGCAACGTCCCGCCAACACGGCACCCAGACCCCACGCAGCATTCTCATCTGTTTGTCATTACTGGTGTCATTTCCTGGCTGTTAACAAACGCCACTGTAACAAATAATCACTGATGTTCCGCTGTAACGGTGGTGGACTCATCAGAACAGAGTGAGCGAGCTGACCAATCAGCACAGGGAGGGGGGGGGGGGGGGGTCAGGAGCTCCAACAAGGCGTGTAGGACAGAGTGAATATGAGAAACCAGGGCCGGCCCTAGACTTTTGGGGGCCCTAAGCGAGCTTTGGCTTGGGGGGCCCCCTCACTCTAGCGCGTTCTCACTACACACAACACAGAACCAACTTTTGTCTTATGATGTTAGTGTAAGCACACATATTGTATAATAAGCATGTAAACACAGTGGACCTAACCTCTCGGGGTCCTCACCTCCTCTAAGGGGGTCCTCCGGGAAGATTTTTTTTTAAATATTGAAGTTAAAAGCATCAATCTGGTGCACTTTGAGAGCAACATTAAGAGATCTATGGATACATCTCTCAACACCCAGATGAAACAGAACTGTAAACAGATTTTTCTTTATGGATATTTTACAAATCACTCCCCTTTTAAACTGTATTCTTGTTTTGTCATTTAGTATTTCATAACTGTTTTTCATTTATTCTCTCTGGCTGTCCATCTCATAATGTTCACAATAATTATAATTTCATGCAAAAATCTGTCACAAAAAGAGGTTGCACATTTAAATGCAGGTGTTGTTATGGCAACGTCAGTGGCCAAACAGCCACATGTACTGCTGCAAATAAGTTCAAACATGCTGTCGACACGTAAAGCAGTGGCAACTATGCCACCGTTTCAGCTGACTTTTTCTCAGAAATACTGTCACATAACATCCATATATGTCAGTGCAAGGTTGATGCTTAGCTAAGCTAACTATGAAACACTTTAACTGACAGGACTCCGGATCAACTGTGTACTGTAAGGTAGCTTCTAGCTTCATGTCGAACAGTAAGTCAACATTTCCCAGAGAGCTTTCTTTTAAATCACCAGGTAACGCTAAAAAACATTACATTTAGATTGTATGACAAATTGTTTATTTAATATATCTGGCTAGCTATAGCTACTTGCTAACGGTTTAGCTTACCCCGCGATTCAAAGTAACGTCAACGTAGCTGTAATTTATGCTTTGCTTACATGTTCGCATAACTTGGAAGTTTACCGACATTTACATACCTTGTTCACCTGGCTCAAGTGGTGGCTCTGGGGTTGTTGTGTGAGAAAACGTTTTCTTATGTCCATCTTCAAAAACTCCGACTGACAGTTTAGTTTAAACATTGTCACAGCTCACAGGATAGGTACCTGTCAGCCAATGAGACGGATGTTTATTTCCATGCAACTCTCTGGTTGGTCTGGTGTCTTGCCTCAGTTGCATTCACCGAACACGGGAAATTACAATCCTGCCGTCCTCTCTAGTGTCATGATGAGGTAAAGCACGGTTAATGTATTATATTATTGCCTCAATAATATAATACATGACTTTGAGAGTAGGCAATCTCGGCATATTAACACAATTAATTAAACATACTTATCACGGTGACGGTGTACTGAGATTATTTAATAAAAATCATTTTTGTTGTTGTTGTTGTTGCTAGCGGGCCCCTAGTAGCTGCGGAGCCCAAGCGGCCGTTGATGTCGCTTAATGGGTCGGGCCGGCTCTGTGAGAAACCAATGTGAGTTTGGAACATTGAACAATGGAAATCTATTCTAGTAGACCTCAACAATGGAATTATGATCAGTAGAAATGGCCATGGCATGGGACCTTTAAAGTCTGCATCTGCATTACTTGAGTTAGAATAAAAAGACTTGACTACTCGACATTAGTAATCGATGCTTTTATTGTGAAGGCAGTGCAACAGGAAGTAGTTCTTGTTCGCTGGTTTTTTATCTGACAGCAGCAACAGTTGCTCTCAGCGTCAGGAGGTTCTTTAATGTCGGATTAAAACATGTTGTTTTCTCCGTCAGGTTTCACTGAATGTCTTCGAGAATGGGACGATTTAGAGAAGAACTACCAACAGATCCAGGTAAATAAAAACAACGCATGTCCGGTATTAGATACACACCCCTTAGTGCGGGTAATGCTAATGCTAAGAGTCAGACTTGGGTAAGTGGGATCCGCCCTTTAGGAGTTAAAGGTAGTTTAACTTTAAAAAAGTTAAGGTTAGATTAAAGTTCGGACCACCGTGATGGACAACTGCCACCGGAACCTTTGTCACGTTGTCACAACACGACATTGTTTTGAGGGAGCACCGCTGGCACTGGATTAGAAGTACTCAGATCTTGTAGTTGAGTAAAAGTAGAAGTACTCAGATCTTGTACTTTAGTAGAAGTACTCAGTAGCATAACAAATACATTGTAGTGTCTCAAAAGTGTACTTGAGTACATCTACTTAGTTACTTCACACCTATAACAATAATAAAAACACTAAACTTTTTACATAAATAATCATTACAACCACAGTTACAAAATGCTTTCCAATAAAAAAAAAAACAATACACCCAGGAGAAAACATTAAATAATGAAAAAACAGCTATTTTAAACATAAATCAAACACAGAAAGTAAAAGAGAGGAATAAGTTGTTAAGTGCCATTCTGGTATGTTTTGCCCGTTGGATGATTGTCCCTTTTTTATGTGAATAATTCACTTGCATCCCTGCCTTGCAGATTTGTTAACAAAATAAAACGTTTGACATGCTTAACACTTCTAGCAAGGCCCAGGACAATGCATCCTTTTCAAAATAAAAGCCCCTGAAAGTATCTAAAGCATCATATTTCACACTGCATAACACTTAATAAACCTGTATGTATTCCCTCCCCTCCAGGACACCCACCGGCTGTACAAGCAGAAGCTGGAGGAGGTGACCCGGCTGCAGGGCAGCTGCTCCGGAGCCATCAGCCGCCAGAGGAAGAAACTCAGAGAGCTGAGAGTGTCTCTGCAGGAGTGAGTGGTTAGAGGAAGAACTCTGGAGATTCAAGATTCAAAGGTTTTATCATCATATGCTCAAAGCTGCAGGGTAGAAATGGCAATGCAATTCTTCTGACCTGAGCTCCTCCAACAATGCAACATATATAATAAGATACAAAATAAAAAGTCTCTATACATGTAGATAGGCAAGGCAAGTTTATTTACACAGCACCTTTCAGCACACGGCAACCCAAAGTGCTTTACAAAATGAAGTGAAAGACATTTAAGAACAAATACCGTGGAAGCACATTATAAAAAGCAAAGATAATCAAATCGACTCAACAGTTATAAAATACATGGATAAAAAGCCAAACTGCAGTTTGAACCTGAACCACTCATCCAAATGCAGCGTCAAAAAGATACGCTTTTAATCTGGATTTAAAAGTATCAACAGCTGCAGCTGACCTGCAGGATTCAGGCAGTTAGTTCCAGAAGGTCGGAGCATAAAAACTAAACGCTGCTTCTCCATGTTTGGTTCTGACTCTAGTAGCAGAGAGCAGACCCGTCCCTGAAGACCTGAGACTCCTGGATGGCTCATATTTATGCAGGAGATCGTTAATATAATTTGGTCCTAAACCATTTAGTGCTTTAAAACCAGCAATAGTATTTTAAAATCAATTATTTGGCAGACAGGAAGCCAGTGTAAAGACTTCAGACCTGGATCCACTCTCTTAGTGTCAGTGAGGACTCGAGCTGCAGCGTTCTGATGGATGTTTTTGTGAGACCTGTGAAGACACCATTACAGTAGTCAAGTCTACTGAAGATAAAAGCATGGACAGATATATGAAGGAAGTATTCAAGACTTTACTTCAGTTAAAGTACTTATACATTGTTGAAATACTCTGTTACATGCATCTAAAGTTAAAGTAAGTGAGTATAATTTATTATACTCACTATTATTATATAACGCAAAGTATGAGAAGCTAAAGTAACCAATGCAGGAGCTCTAATATATATTATTTATTTATTTTAAAACCCAACTCAAAATTATTCAAGATAAAAGGATAATCATTAAATGTGTTTTAAAGTATGAAAACCTAAAGTAACCAATGCAGGGAAAAATAAAAACCGGTGCTAATGATGCTAATTTATTTCCTCTCAGTAGCTCAACAAGTGTGTTGTATAACATTTTGGCTTGTTTAATTAATAACAAAACATCATCATTTTATTGAGGGCGATCTACTGCGCGGCAACAATCTGAAATGCTTACCGTCACTCACACCTACGCTGTCATTGGAGGCAGTCGCAATTTCTACAGGCTCGCACTTGCCTGTTGGCATCTGGCATCTGTTGGCATCTGTTAGCATCTGTTAGCATCTAGCAGCATCTGGCTCTCCTGCTTACAAACTTTTGGCCGTCCCTGCTTATACAAGTAGTGGTTTTAGTTGTCTGCGAACTGTGGAGGCCTACTCCCACCTGTTGAGTGCGGCTGTGCTGGGGTGTTTTTCCTCCGGAGACGTCGCGAAGAGACGGAGCTGCTCCGCCTGTTGCTGCGTGCGATCTGCGATTTGCGGGGGCCTGCTCGTCGCGAGGAGACGGAGCGGCTCCACCTGTTTGCTGCCTGCGATCTGCGATCTGCGGAGGCCTGCTCCCACCTGTGGAGTGCGGCTGTACTGGAGAGGTTTTTGCCCCGGAGTCGTCGCGGAGAGACGGAGTGGATCCACGCTTCGGGCTTGGCCTGCTTCCACCGGGCGTGTGCTGCTGTGCGGAGGAGGATTTTACCACCGCTGGGGCCTGCTTTCCACCTGTCCTGGTTCTGCTGTCGCAGAGGCCTGCTTTCACCCCGGGGATACCACGGAGGGACCGGAGCACTTCCACACTGCTGTTTTCGCCTGTCCTTTGCTGCTGTGCTGATCTTGCTCCAGGAACATCGCGGATACTGTGTGCTGGTCTGGGGAAATGGCCCATATCGGGATTCTGCTGTGCCTGTTAACTGTTTTGGACTATGAGAAGATCTCTAGTCATTCTGAGGAGTCTACTGGATTCAGGTCTGTTCTGCCACCCGCAGTGGGCATCCCCTGCAAAGGTTCGGATGTGTTGCTCAAACAATTACCGGTTGCCTTGTCACAGTCAATCTGCTCGACAAAATATGTTTGTCTTTTTTATTTTCCTGCGATGATGGTTCTTCAGGACTGCTTCTTAAGCTCTAATCACACTCTCGCAGACTTTTCCGGTGTTTCTAAATTAGATGACAATGTATGTGTGTCGCTTAAGAGGAAAAGATGCCTGTTTTTGTTGTTGTTATTACTGTCAGGAAATGTACAACCTAACCCTGGTCCGCCCAGTAGTAGTCAGATCGCTACTCCTGCTGATTTTAAAGCTAGGTCTGGGTTGGGTTTCATCCACTTGAATGTGCGCAGTCTGTTAGGTAAACTAGATTTTGTCCGTATCTGGGCTCGACTGACGCTGACGTCATTGTTTTATCAGAAACATGGCTAAACAAATCTATTTTGGCCTCTGACATTGCCTTAAATGGTTTTAATGTGTATCGTACCGACCGGCCTAATAAAGGTGGCGGCGTTGCCATTTATGTTAACAATAAGTTCAGTGTAACCACATTAGTTTCCAAATCGATCAGTAAGCAATATGAATTTGTAGCCATAAATATAGAAGTGGCAAAGGGTCAACAGGTCATGGTCGTGGGCTGCTACAGACCCCCCTCAGCTGTCAAAGACTCCTTGTCTTCACTAGCAAATCTTTTATCCCAACTAGACTACAAGGAAATAGTGCTACTTGGAGATTTTAACTGGGACTGGTTAACTGCAGTGTCAGAGGATTTTAAAAACCTTTGTATCTCTTTGAATGTTACTCAGATTGTTGACAGTCCTACTCGCCCTAACAAGTCCCCTAATAAATCCTCCCTAATTGATCTCATTTTAACTAATGTTCCTCATAAATATTCATCTGTGGGAGTATTTGCAAATGATCTGAGTGATCACTGTGTTGTCGCCACAATTAGGGACACTAAGGTCCAAAAGGTTAAACCTTGCATTATCATTAAGAGAGACAAAAAACATTTTGTTGAGCAGGGTTTTGTGCATGATCTGTTTGGGTTTGATTGGGGTAAAATCGATCTGTGTGCTGATGTGGAAACCGCATGGTCTTATTTTTATCTTGGTTTTATGGAGATCATTGATAGACATCAATGCGTAAATTTAGAGTAAAGGGACGAGACAATCCTTGGTTTTCTGCTGAGCTGTCTAGTCTCCTTCATGAGAGAAACAAGGTCTGGGCAAAGGCTAGGAAATCAGGCTCAGAGGTAGAGTGGCTGCGTTTTAGGCAGCTCAGAAATAGCTTCACTTCAAAAGTGCAAAGTCGAAGCACTATTTGTCAGTTACCACAGAAAACCTAAATAATCCTAGGAAATTTTGGAAAGCAATAAAATCGATATCCACCGGTGAGATCCGTAATGAGCTACCTCCGTGCCTTACCACAGCATCTGGCTCTATATCGGACAGGGCTACTATGCTAAATTGCTTTAATGAGCATTTTGTGTCCTGCGGTTCTATGTTTGATTCTGTGACTAATTCTGCTTCAGTGAACACCACAATCCGTGACTCTGAACAATGTGGTCTGGAAAACCCTTTCAGTTTTACTCCTTTTACTGTCAATGTTGTTCATGAAGCCTTATCTAAGCTAGATCCTAAGAAACCGGCTGGCCCGGACAACGTAGAACCTTTCTTTTTAAAGATAGCTGCAGATTGTATTGCTCCTCCTCTCACTACTCTTTTTAACCTCTCCCTCAGCACTAATGCAATTCCAAAAGTATGGAAGTCAGCGTATGTCCTGCCTTTGCTAAAAGGAGGGGAGGCAACTATTTTAAATAACTATAGGCCAATCTCTAAGTTGTCAGTTCTGGCTCAGGTGCTCGAACGCCTAGTGAGTGAACAGGTAAAGGAGTTTTTATGTAAAAATGACATCCTGTCTAAACATCAGTCAGGCTTCAGAAAGCAACACAGCACCATCACTGCGACAATGAAAGTGGTGAATGATGTGGAGAGTATTTTAGATAATAAGCAGAGCTGTGCAGCTCTATTTGTTGACCTATCCAAAGCGTTTGATACCGTCGATCATCACATCTTAAAGCAGAGGCTACTCAGTATCGGCATATCCAGCCATGCAGTGGGTTGGTTTGTGAACTACCGCTCTGAAAGGTCCCAATGTGTTCACTTTGATGGGCTGTCTTCTGAGTGGTTAAACATTGCTAATGGTGTTCCTCAAGGTTCTGTTTTAGGTCCACTTTTATTCTCCATATATATCAACAGTTTAGGTGAAAATGTGGATGAAGCTACTTTACATTTTTATGCGGATGATACCGTGATGTTCTGTGCAGGTCCCTCCATTCAGGAGGCTGGTGTTAAATTACAGGCTGTTTTTAACATTATTCAGACTCAGCTCTCTGAACTTAAGCTTATTTTAAATGTTGATAAAACCAAGGTAATGCTCTTTTCTAAAGCTAAAAAGATACCAGAGCCTGTTTTGGATATTGTTACTATGCAAGGACATGTATTTGAAGTGGTTACCTGTTACAAATACCTTGGTATCTGGCTTGATGATTGTCTTACTTTTAAACTTCATGTCAATAACCTGCTTAAAAAGCTGAGGGTTAGGCTAGGTTTCTTTTTCAGGAACAAGTCCTGTTTCTCTTTTGAAGCCAGGAAAAGGCTCTGTGACCTTTTGACCTGTGCTGGACTATGGTGATTTGATCTATATGAATGCACCTGCCCATTGCCTGGAAAAGTTAGATGCCGCCTATCACAGTGCCCTGAGATGTGTTACTAACTGTAAAGCACTTACTCATCACTGTACCCTGTATGCCAAGGCAGGTCTGCCTTCACTAACTGTACGGAGGCTCAGTCATTGGTACACGTTCATTTACAAAGCCATGTTGGGTAAACTACCTTTTTATATCTGCTCTCTGATCTCTCCACGAATTGAAAGTACTTATTGCCTGAGATCTCATGATGTTGTTTTATTAAATGTGCCAAGTGCTAGGACTGTCTTAGGGAAGAAAGCTTTTAGTTGTGCAGCTCCACTAAATTGGAACAGTCTGCAAACATGTTTGAAACTGAGCACTTTGGTTCCCCTGCATCATTTAAAACTCAGCTGAGCGACATGCTGTTTGATACTCATGGTACCTGTCTCTGTAAATAGAGTTTGTAAACTGTACCCTGCACATTATGTTGTATGTCATCCTTATTGTTGTTCTGTTGTTTTTATGTTACATGTGTAACTAATGTCCTGCAGGTCACCTTGAAGAAGAGATCTTTTGATCTCAAGGGGCTTCACCTGGTTCAATAAAGGCTACAAACAAACAATAAGCTCTCGTGATTATTCTGCAAACACATATGACTTATTAAAGAAACTGAAGCTGTAGTACGTATTTACAAAAACTTAAATTAAATGAAACAAAGACAAGAGGGAGGAGCAACCGTACTACAATATATTAGGGCTGCTCAATTAATGGTATTTTAATCGCAATTACGACTATGGCTGGCAACGATTACGAAAACAACGTAATCGAAATAAAACGATAATTTTTTTATTATTACTTTTTTGTAGCGGTTTTTCAGTTGAATTAAACTTAAAGTTGAGGGGAATCAACTGTTCAAAACATACTGTTCAAAAAAAATTCTCCAATAAATGGATGTTTTCAAAATCAATGAATAATCGCATTTAAGAATCGCAATTACAATTATTGACCCAAATAATCGAGATTATGATTTTTTTTCGAGCAGCCCTACAATATATGCTCTCAAGTTTCCCTTTTTCTAATACAAATATATATGAATATGTGCACAGTCTTAAAATCTTTCCTTAAAGGGGACCTATCATGCAAAATGCACTTGTTGATGTCTTTCATACATCAACATGTGTCCCCGGTGTGTCGGGGAACTCACGCAGCGCCAGGAAATAAAACCCTCTCTCTTTTCCTCCGTACCCAAATCTCTAAAAACGGGGAACAACGGAGCTGATCCACATTTGCGTCCGATATGACATAATATCTGAAATGTGGACCCACGGCCCAATCAGAAACGTTGCTATCAGAAACAATGCCCGACTGTTTTGGACGTAATATGGTCGGTGTTACATTAGCATGCTAACATTACATTACATTACATTGCATTTAGCTGACGCTTTTATCCAAAGCGACTTACAATAAGTGCGTTCGTCCAACAACACTCAGAGCTAACCTGTACTGGAGAGCATGTGTGTGAAGAAGCAGGAAGTAAAAAGGAACTCACCTTGTGGTATAACCGGCAAGAGAGAAAGCCTTTGAGCTCCAGACTGTTTCAGAGAGAATCCTTGATAATCCATGATATGGCGTTTTCATCACGGCAGCATTTAGTTTAGACAGTAGCTGCCGGGTCCCGCATGAGCTCAGACTCCTCCTCTTTAAAGCTTTATACCCAAATCAGCTCTTTAGAAACAGGAAGTGAAATAGAGGGATATGAGGCATGGCTAGAATGATCTGTTTGGTGTTTGGAGCAAAACACTTCATAGACATGTTTTTTATATATTTGTATATATCTGAGACCTGTGCTATTGCCTAAAAATAGGTGAGCTTTAAGACTGCAGTGTTTATGTTATATGTTATATTATCAAAGCAAACAAAGACATAACAACAGATATTCTGTCAGATATTATCGATAATTTTAAAATAAAAATTATGTGTTTTTTATTGTTTGCTTTCCACTGTTTTTTATTTTCTAATTATGAGCAGTACTTGTTTAACTTGCTGCTGGGATCAATAAAGTACATCTTATTATAATGTTTATTTATCTCTTTAGATGCAAAGACAACCACCCGACGCCCAAACTGAACCCAGAGGACGTGGACTCCATCTCTGAGGTCCAGAGTTTGATCAGAGAGCGAGGCGAAGCTTTCTCTGAGATGGAGGCGTTCCTGCCGCAGAAGAACGGGTCAGAACCTCTTCAATAACCCTCTGGGTGTTTACACGACTAGCAAACATGGACAATGTCAATATAGAGCTGAGTCATTCTGAGGCTGGCGGAATACAATAATAATAATAATAATACATGACACTTATATAGCGCTTTTATAAAAACTCTAAGATGCTTTAACAGAGAATAAAACAAAAAACGAAGAAAAATACATAAAGAGACAAACAAAAACAGAAGAGACCAACTAAGTAGATTTACTCAAGTACTTTACTAAAGGGCAAGTTTAAGGTACTTGTACTTTATTTGAGTATTTTCCTTTAGTGCCACTTTATATTTTTCAGGAGTATCATTCGGGAGGGGAGAACCGATCCGATGAATTCCCCCGGGGGCTTGACCCTGGTGGTGGTGAATGGATGGTTGGGGTCGGTCTGAAGGGGAGGGGCTTAGCTTGACCCTGGTGGTGGTGAATGGATAGTTGGGGTCGGTCTGAAGGGGAGGGGCTTAGCTTGACCCTGGTGGTGGTGAATGGATAGTTGGGGTCGGTCTGAAGGGAGGGCTTAGCTTGACCCTGGTGGTGGTATGATAGTTGGGTCGGTCTGAAGGGGAGGGGCTTAGCTTGGACCCTGGTGGTGGTGAATGGATAGTTGGGGTCGGTCTGAAGGGGAGGGGCTTAGCTTGACCCTGGTGGTGGTGAATGGATAGTTGGGGTCGGTCTGAAGGGGAGGGGCTTAGCTTGACCCTGGTGGTGGTGAATGGATAGTTGGGGTCGGTCGGAAGGGGAGGGGCTTAGCTTGACCCTGGTGGTGGTGAATGGATAGTTGGGTTCGGTCTGAAGGGGAGGGGCTTAGCTTGACCCTGGTGGTGGTGAATGGATAGTTGGGGTCGGTCTGAAGGGGAGGGGCTTAGCTTGACCCTGGTGGTGGTGAATGGATAGTTGGGGGTCGGTCTGAAGGGGAGGGGCTTAGCTTGACCCTGGTGGTGGTGAATGGATGGTTGGGTTCGGTCTGAAGGGGAGGGGCTTAGCTTGACCCTGGTGGTGGTGAATGGATGGTTGGGTTCGGTCTGAAGGGGAGGGGCTTAGCTTGACCCTGGAGGTGGTGAATGGATGGTTGGGGTCGGTCTGAAGGGGAGGGGCTTAGCTTGACCCTGGTGGTGGTGAATGGACGGTTGGGTTCGGTCTGAAGGGGAGGGGCTTAGCTTGACCCTGGTGGTGGTGAATGGATGGTTGGGGTCGGTCTGAAGGGGAGGGGCTTAGCTTGACCCTGGTGGTGGTGAATGGATAGTTGGGTTCGGTCTGAAGGGGAGGGGCTTAGCTTGACCCTGGTGGTGGTGAATGGGTAGTTGGGGTCGGTCTGAAGGGGAGGGGCTTAGCTTGACCCTGGTGGTGGTGAATGGATAGTTGGGGTCGGTCTGAAGGGGAGGGGGCTTAGCTTGACCCTGGTGGTGGTGAATGGATGGTTGGGTTCGGTCTGAAGGGGAGGGGCTTAGCTTGACCCTGGTGGTGGTGAATGGATGGTTGGGTTCGGTCTGAAGGGGAGGGGCTTAGCTTGACCCTGGTGGTGGTGAATGGATGGTTGGGGTCGGTCTGAAGGGGAGGGGCTTAGCTTGACCCTGGTGGTGGTGAATGGGACGGTTGGGTTCGGTCTGAAGGGGAGGGGCTTAGCTTGACCCTGGTGGTGGTGGTGAATGGATAGTTGGGTTCGGTCTGAAGAGGAGGGGCTTAGCTGGACCCTGGTGGTGGTGGTGAATGCATAGTTGGGTTCGGTCTGAAGGGGAGGGGCTTAGCTTGACCCTGGTGGTGGTGAATGGATGGTTGGGGTCGGTCTGAAGGGGAGGGGCTTAGCTTGACCCTGGTGGTGGTGAATGGATAGTTGGGGTCGGTCTGAAGGGGAGGGGCTTAGCTTGACCCTGGTGGTGGTGAATGGATAGTTGGGTTCGGTCTGAAGGGGAGGGGCTTAGCTTGACCCTGGTGGTGGTGAATGGATAGTTGGGGTCGGTCTGAAGGGGAGGGGCTTAGCTTGATCCTGGTGGTGGTGAATGGATGGTTGGGTTCGGTCTGAAGGGGAGGGGCTTAGCTTGACCCTGGTGGTGGTGAATGGATGGTTGGGTTCGGTCTGAAGGGGAGGGGCTTAGCTTGACCCTGGTGGTGGTGAATGGATGGTTGGGTTCGGTCTGAAGGGGAGGGGCTTAGCTTGACCCTGGTGGTGATGGTGAATGGATAGTTGGGTTCGGTCTGAAGAGGAGGGGCTTAGCTGGACCCTGGTGGTGGTGGTGAATGCATAGTTGGGTTCGGTCTGAAGGGGAGGGGCTTAGCTTGACCCTGGTGGTGGTGAATGGATAGTTGGGTTCGGTCTGAAGGAGAGGGGCTTAGCTTGACCCTGGTGGTGGTGAATGGATAGTTGGGTTCGGTCTGAAGGAGAGGGGCTTAGCTTGACCCTGGTGGTGGTGAATGGATAGTTGGGTTCGGTCTGAAGGAGAGGGGCTTAGTTTGACCCTGGTGGTGGTGAATGGATAGTTGGGTTCGGTCTGCTAAAACCTTGCACAGGAAGCATGTGAATATATGTAATTTATGCATATATTTGTAACGATCTGTCTATGTTTTAGTTTGTCTGTCTCTGTTTCCTGTTTTAGTTTGAAAAGTGTTCCCCCTCCCGTCTTGTCTGTTGCTGGTGATTGTGTTCACCTGGTGCCCTGTGTTGTCTCCTCCCTCCTCACCTGTGTCTTGTTGGTTTGATTAGTCCTGTGTGTATTTAGGTTCTGTTTTCCTGTTAGTCTGGGGGTGTGGGAGATCCTTGTGGCTGCTGACTGTGTTCACGTGAGACAGTAATATTGAGGCTGTACCACAATGAGTAATAAATGCCCACACCGGGTTGTATTTGGACGTTCTGCCTCTGCCACCTTACTTGGTCGGGCCGCTCAATGGTCAGCTTCACACACTGGAGTAGTAAATAACGGATCTGGGTCGTTTTATCTGAATCTCCTCAAAATGTAAAAGTTTGACATGTTTTTATTTATATTTTTAGGTTGTACCTCAATCTGGTTTTAGGAAACGTCAACGTGACGCTCCTGAACAAACAGTCAAAGTAAGTCCTGATTCATTTCTAACTCTCAAAATGTCTTTAAAGTCAGAAACCTCCCTCTCATGATGTCCTCGTGTCTCAGGTTTGCCTACAAAGACGAATATGAGAAGTTCAAGCTAGTTCTGACGGTGATCCTCTTCGTCTTCTCCTTCACCTGCCGCTTCCTCTTCAGCTACAGGTAACTTTTATTATCGATGTATATGTTAGAGAAATCTCACTGGTCTCCGGCTTGAGCTTCAACATCAGGATCCATGTATTTATTAAAATCTCAAAATTCTGACTTTTTCAAAAAATCTCTAAAATGCTGTATTTTTCTGAATACTTAAAAATGTTAAGAATCACTCGTCACCAGCTTGAGCTTCAATCTCAGGATCCATGTATCTGTGATCCTCTCCAGAATGGAAGTAGTCATCACATACAGAGCATCAACTAGTTCCTGAACAGTGTCCTTCACATGCTGATATCCAAGAGAGGGAGTTCCACAGTCACAAGATGGAGGAATAGAAAGCAGTATTCAATGTTTACTTCAGATTTACGTCAGAAATGAGCATGCTTGTCATATGTCTCTCTCCATAGAGGCTGAATCATCATGTTAATCACATAGCTATCATATGCCTAAAACAGTCCTGAGGCCTGTACGACGAAGCTGGTTCAACCATAACCTGGATATGTTTGAGTTAGCCGGTTGGCCTAATCCAAAACATACGCGCTCTCGCTAAGCGGTCCTACGACTCGGGTTATCAAGTGGATCGCTCAAGCCAGCCGTGTCCTATCTAGTTAGGTGCGCGTTCACATGAAAGGGGTAGGGTGATTTTTGCCGGCCGTCTTTCCTGCAACGGCAGCTTTTCTGTATTTCCTTTCTCCTGTAATATGACTTGATCGCTTTAAACTCCGCACACTGAGCTCTGATTGGTCAGCAGGCAGTGCTTTCACTGAGTTGATCTCTTAGCCTGCAACCTAACCTGCTCCGGGGCAGGTTAGCCGCACAGCATAAGTTACCATGGAGATCTAGCCTGCTAAAAAGAGAACCAGCGTCGTAGGACCGGAAAGCCGGAGTTTTCCCTGAAGTTAGCCGCTAAGCGAAAATCCGTCTTCGTAGTACAGGCTTCTAGTGTTCTTCTAGGTAATCATACATCCTGTCATGTACACAATACTGAGTTTGTTCTCAAAATCTTCAAAATTCAGACTTTTTCCTCAAAAAATCTGACTTTAAAAAAAAAAAAATGACTTTTTCAATTCTTTTTGTAAAATAAATCAGACTTTTTCACTTAAAATAATAATAATCACTCGTCACCGGCTTAAGCTTCAATATCAGAAGATAAGGAGGAAGGACAATCAATACTGTATATAGTCAATGTGAGGTGTGTCGCCAAGGTAACCGGTTAGAACTCAAAGTGGCGATGAGGTCTAAAGTGTCTGGAAAGGGTCTTAGAAAAGTTCTTCAAAGGTCTTCCATGTGACTTCAGGGTTCCTGCAGACACCCTGTGTTTATTTGTTGTTGTTTTCAGAGCGTTGGACGCGCTGTTTAACTTCCTGTTGGTGTGGTATTACTGCACGCTGACCATCAGAGAGAGCGTCCTCATCAACAACGGGTCCAGGTATTCAGTATTCACACTTCTGGACTCTCACCTGTTTCAGTCGTGGGTTTGATTGGAAATGTTGTATTGTTTGTTCCTGCTCAGGGACTGCAGACGGAAAACAGCTTTTGGATCAAATCTGGCATCTCTTTATATTTGTGTACGTTTATTCTACTGTCTTTATCATAATAACAACAACACAGTTCTTTAAGGACACATGAACGAATATAAAACATCCTGCAACTCTTACATTTGACGTCTCATAGTTTTAACTTGTATTAACATCTGGAAAAACACGCTGCAAACGGTTTTATTTTGTGTTTACTTGCAGGTTCTTTGTTTATTTCATTCTAACTTGAAAGTGTATTTGAATGGTGCCATAAACGTTTCATATTATTATACGTTTTATAATAATAATAACTTGAATTTTATATAGCGCCTTTCATAACCTCAAGGTCGCTTTACAAAGAAACATAAGGACAAGACATAAACATAAAACGGGGCAGAAGTCGAAGTGGGGGGGAGTGAGTTATTGTTGGAAGGCTTTGTTGAACAGATGAGTTTTCAGGGTTGATGTGAAGATGTTGAGAGAAGGGGCGTTCCAGGGGGGGGGGGCAGCGACACTGAAGGCACGGTCCCCGAAGGTGCAGAGGCGGGAAGGTAGAATGGAGAGCAGGCCGGAGTCTGAGGATGGAAGGGTGCGGGACGGGGGGTGGAGGAGATCTGTGAGGGACTGAGGGGAGAGGGCGTGGAGGGGCTTGGAGGTGAGGAGGAGGAGTTTGTAGGTGATGCGGGACTTGACCGGGAGCCAGTGGAGGTTGAAGGGAGTGGGGGTGATGTGCTGCCAGGGCTCGGTGCGTGTGAGGACCCTGGCAGCTGAGTTCTGGATGTACTGGAGCCGGTCCAGGGTTCTGCTGGGAACCCCGGACAGGAGTCCGTTACAATAGTCCAGGCGGGAGGTAATGAAACAGTGAATCAGCTTCTCTGCAACAGAGTCGGACAGTGATGGCCGGAGTCTTGAAATGTTTCTGAGGTGGAAGAAGGCTGATTTTGAAACAGACTTTGAAATGAGCGGGTTGAATCCAAGACAACTCCAAGGTAGCGGACCTGAGGAGATAGGGAGATGATGGAACCGTCGATGTTGAGGAGCAGATCTCCAACCTTTTATCCCATGTTTCAGCCTTATAGCAGTGTGTGTCCTCCTGAGTGTGTGTCCTCCTGAGTGTGTGTGTGTCCTGAATGTGTGTATCCTGAGTGTGTGTGTCCTGAGTGTGTGTGTGTGTGTCCTGAGTGTGTTTCCTTAGTGTGTGTATCCTGAGTGTGTGTCCTGAGTGTGTATGTCCTGAGTGTGTGTGTCCTGAGTGTGTGTGTCCTGAGTGTGTGTGTCCTGAGTGTGTTTCCTTAGTGTGTGTGTGTGTCCTGAGTGTGTATCCTCAGTGTGTATCCTCAGTGTGTGTCCTCAGTGTGTGTCCTAAGTGTTTATCCTCAGTGTGTGTGTCCTCATTGTGTGTCCTCATTGTGTGTGTCCTCAGTGTGTGTATCCTCGGTGTGTGTGTGTGTCCTCAGTGTGTCCCCTCGGTGTGTGTGTGTATCCTCAGTGTGTGTCCTCGGTGTGTGTGTCCTCAGTGTATGTGTCCTCAGTGTATGTGTCCTCAGTGTGTGTATCCTCGGTGTGTGTGTCCTCAGTGTGTGTATCCTCAGTGTGTGTGTCCTCGGTGTGTGTGTGTGTGTGTCCTCAGTGTGTGTGTCCTCAGTGTGTGTGTCCTCAGTGTGTGTCCTCAGTGTGTGTATCCTCAGTGTATCCTCATTGTGTGTACTCGGTGTGCGTGTATCCTCAATGTGTGTATCCTCAGTGTGTGTCCTCGGTGTGTGTGTCCTCGGTGTGTGTGTGTGTGTGTCCTCAGTGTGTGTGTCCTCAGTGTGTGTCCTCAGTGTGTGTATCCTCAGTGTATCCTCATTGTGTGTACTCGGTGTGCGTGTATCCTCAATGTGTGTATCCTCAGTGTGTGTCCTCGGTGTGTGTGTCCTCAGTGTGTGTATCCTCAGTGTGTGTCCTCGGTGTGTGTGTCCTAAATGTGTGCTCCATGTCTCAGGATCAAAGGATGGTGGGTGTTCCATCACTACGTGTCCACCTTCCTGTCTGGAGTCATGCTCACATGGTGGGTCACACACTGGAACTTCACATGTGCAAAATATTAAAGTGACATTAATGTGAAATTGGCAGTCAATGGTACTGGTACTGGTACTGACTGTTTTTTATAACCATTACAATTGTTTTTGTAAATCATAAATGTACTTTGTTGTGTTCTGTGCTCAGGCCTGAAGGCGCTCTCTACCAGATGTTCAGGAACCAGTTCCTCACATACTGTCTCTACCAAAGTAAGAGATCACTAACTCAATGTAAACATTCATAAATAAACACATAGTATTTAGTTCAGGCTCATGGATATTTTTTAAACGCCTCAAAATGAAATCAAAGCTTTATGTTTTCTATGGAGCTCAAACTATAATGTGCTCCAGACCTTATGAACATTTCCAAGAGCCACTTTCCATTGAAAAGAGAAAAGCATTCCTCTGTTTCCTGGTCCCTAAGCATTCCTCTGTTTCCTAGTCCCTAAGCATTCCTCTGTTTCCTGGTCCCTAAGCGTTCCTCTGTTCTCTGGTCCTGAGCGTTCCTCTGTTCTCTGGTCCTGAGCGTTCCTCTGTTCTCTGGTCCTGAGCGTTCCTCTGTTCTCTGGTCCTGAGCGTTCCTCTGTTCTCTGGTCCTGAGCGTTTCTCTGTTCTCTGGTCCTGAGCGTTCCTCTGTTCTCTGGTCCTGAACGTTCCTCTGTTCTCTGGTCCTGAGCGTTTCTCTGTTCTCTGGTCCTGAACGTTCCTCTGTTCTCTGGTCCTGAGCGTTCCTCTGTTCTCTGGTCCTGAGCGTTTCTCTGTTCTCTGGTCCTGAGCGTTCCTCTGTTCTCTGGTCCTAAGCGTTCCTCTGTTCTCTGGTCCTGAGCGTTCCTCTGTTCTCTGGTCCTGAGCGTTCCTCTGTTCTCTGGTCCTGAGCGTTCCTCTGTTCTCTGGTCCTGAGCGTTCCTCTGTTTCCTGGTCCTGAACTTTCCTCTGTTCTGTGGTCCTGAGCGTTCCTCTGTTCTCTGGTCCTGAGCGTTCCTCTGTTCTCTGGTCCTGAACGTTCCTATGTTCTCTGGTCCTGAGCGTTCCTCTGTTCTCTGGTCCTGAGCGTTCCTCTGTTCTCTGGTCCTGAGCGTTCCTCTGTTCTCTGGTCCTGAGCGTTCCTCTGTTTCCTGGTCCCTAAGCATTCCTCTGTTCTCTGGTCCTGAACGTTCCTCTGTTCTCTGGTCCTGAGCGTTCCTCTGTTTCCTGGTCCTGAGCGTTCCTCTGTTTCCTGGTCCTGAACTTTCCTCTGTTCTGTCTTCTGTTTGCAAAGTAGGCTTCGTTCAGTTCCTGCAGTATTACTATCAGAGCGGCTGCCTGTACAGACTGAGAGCTCTGGGAGAGAAGCACAACATGGACGTCACCGTGGGTCAGTTTCTCTCCTCTTTTACACCTAAAGAAGTACAACACATAATACGAGGCTTTCTTTCTAGCGAGCTAGTGAGCCAAAATGGTGGCTCTTCATTTACATTGTTATAATGTAAATATCGAGTATCCTCTAATGACAGATTCATCTCAGTTCTGTGACTTTCTAAAACTCTCCTTGTTTTCTCTCCTCTCCTTGTCTCCTCTCTCCTCTCCTTGTCTCCTCTCTTTGTCCTGTTCTTCTCTCTTTGTCCTCTTCTTCTCTCCCTCTCTCCTCTCCTTGTCTCCTCTCCTCCTCTCCTGTCTCCTCTCCTTGTCTCCTCTCTCCTCTCAGAGGGGTTCCAGTCCTGGATGTGGAGAGGGTCTGACCTTCCTGCTTCCTTTCCTGTTCTTCGGTCACGTGAGTAAACCTTCCTCACATCGCATGAATTCGATTTAAATTCAGAATATAGATATTTATCAGTGTATTTTATTAAACACACTACCTCCTCCTCCTCCTCCTCCTCCTCCTCCTCCTCCTCCTCCTCCTCCTCCTCCTCCTCCTCCTCCTCCTCCTCCTCCTCCTCCTCCTCCTCCTCCTCCTCTCAGTTCTGGCAGCTCTACAACAGCATCACTCTGTACACGATGTTCCAGCTCCCAGAGTGCAAAGAGTGGCAGGTCTGTCCTCACTTTATTGTGAAATGTAACAGAACATGTTGCAGCACTTCCTGTCAGTCAAGTCTCTCCTTCCTGATAATATATGAAGTGCAGGGGGTCCGCGGGGTCTTTAAAAGTATTAAAAGTTGATAAATCAATTCAGCAAAAATGAAGGCTATTAAAAAGTATTAAACGGCATTTTCCAAGGTGTTACATTTTGTATCTTGTGTTCAATAAGTATATAAATGGTCCAAAGAGGTTGTATTCTACAGTCTGCCTGAATGTCATCATGGCGTAGGTGTGTAGTGTGATTCTGTGTAGTTTATTGATGGCATCCCGTTGGGTTTGACGTCATCTGAACAGGACATCGCACGCTCACTGCTTGATAGTTCGAAGGTCCGTTTACGCCGGTTGCTAAGCAACATCGTTATGGGGAAATGCAAGTCTGCGTCCAAATGGTTGGAAGATCAGGAGGAAGGACAATCAATACTGTATATAGTCAATGTGAGGTGAAGTGTGTCGCCAAGGTAACCGGTTAGAACTCAAAGTGGAGATCAGGTCTTAAAATGTATGGAAAGCGTCTTAGAAAAGGTCTTAAAAGGTTTTACATGTGACTTCAGGATTCTACCCTGAAGAACAACAGCTGTTCACTGAGGATAGACGTCTATCAATCTGTTTAAGAAATCATAAAAAATGCTTTTAGCTTTTCTGTTATTAATCAGATGCTGGCGGTGACAGCAGGACTTCACAAGCAGGACAGCATATTAGATATATGTACATGTATGTGTGAAAACAGTGTGTATTTGATGTCCAGTAATTGGCTCCTACAACAGCTTCTCACAGGGATTGTCCTTCTGTTAACGGAGTATGTCCCGTCTCTCCCAGGTGGCGATGTGCGGCTGCTCCTACCTGGTGCTCTTCATGGGGAACTTCCTCACCACGCTGGGAGTCGTCTACCAGAAATACAGGAACAACCAGGACAACAAACCCAAGAGCCTTTAGACACAGAAGCATCAAAGTGTTCGTGAAAATGTTCAAAGAAACCCGCTCTAAAATGCTCTTTAGAGCGTTTACCTGTGTTCTGATTGTTGTCCCTTTGAACCCTTCACATGTTCTGCTTCTCCAGAGTTTCTGCCCTCTGCTAACGGTGCCTCTCTGAAGAGGAAATGTTGCTGAATGTTGAAATAACTGAGTCATATTTATTTCGGGAAATCACAGTTTGTTACTCTGCAGCCGCTCTGTATTTCATAAACACTTCTCCAAAGCCCAGAGGTACTTCAGTTTGAATGTTTCCCTTTCTTTTTAAGACATCAAACATATCATATATATTATTCTGAAATGGATCAATCTGCACAACGACTACTTTTACTGTCGCTACTTTCACTATATTTTGATGAGAATACTTTTTACTTTCACTTGAGGAACATTTTGAATGCAGGACTTTTACTGTAACAGAGTATTCCTACACTCTGGTACTTCTACTTTTACTCAAGTACAAGACCTGAGTACTTCTACTTTTACTCAAGTACAAGACCTGAGTACTTCTACTTTTACTCAAGTACAAGACCTGAGTACTTCTACTTTTACTGAAGTACAAGATCTGAGTACTTCTACTTTTACTCAAGTACAAGATCTGTGTACTTCTACTTTTACTCAAGTACAAGATCTGAGTACTTCTACTTTTACTCAAGTACAAGATCTGAGTACTTCTACTTTTACTCAAGTACAAGATCTGTGTACTTCTACTTTTACTCAAGAACAAGATCTGAGTACTTCTACTTTTACTCAAGTACAAGATCTGAGTACTTCTACTTTTACTCAAGTACAAGATCTGAGTACTTTCTACTTTTACTCAAGTACAAGATCTGTGTACTTCTACTTTTACTCAAGAACAAGATCTGAGTACTTCTACTTTTACTCAAGTACAAGATCTGAGTACTTCTACTTTTACTCAAGTACAAGATCTGAGTACTTCTACTTTTACTCAAGTACAAGATCTGAGTACTTCTACTTTTACTCAAGTACAAGATCTGTGTACTTCTACTTTTACTCAAGTACAAGACCTGAGTACTTCTACTTTTACTCAAGTACAAGATCAGAGTACTTCTACTTTTACTCAAGTACAAGATCTGAGTACTTCTACTTTTACTCAAGTACAAGATCTGAGTACTTCTACTTTTACTCAAGTACAAGATCTGAGTACTTCTACTTTTACTCAAGATCTGAGTACTTCTACTTTTACTCAAGATCAAGATCTGAGTACTTCTACTTTTACTCAAGTACAAGATCTGAGTACTTCTACTTTTACTCGAGTACAAGATCTGAGTACTTCTACTGTTACTCAACTACAAGATCTGAGTACTTCTACTTTTACTCAACTACAAGATCTGAGTACTTCTACTTTTACTCAAGTACAAGATCTGAGTACTTCTACTTTTACTCAAGCACAAGATCTGAGTACTTCTACTTTTACTCAAGTACAAGATCTGAGTACTTCTACTTTTACTCAAGATCAAGATCTGAGTACTTCTACTTTTACTCAAGTACAAGATCTGAGTACTTCTACTTTTACTCGAGTACAAGATCTGAGTACTTCTACTGTTACTCAACTACAAGATCTGAGTACTTCTACTTTTACTCAACTACAAGATCTGAGTACTTCTACTTTTACTCAAGTACAAGATCTGAGTACTTCTACTTTTACTCAACTACAAGATCTGAGTACTTCTACTTTTACTCAAGTACAAGATCTGAGTACTTCTACTTTTACTCAACTACAAGATCTGAGTACTTCTACTTTTACTCAAGTACAAGATCTGAGTACTTCTATTTTTACTCGAGTACAAGATCTGAGTACTTCTACTTTTACTCAACTACAAGATCTGAGTACTTCTACTTTTACTCAAGTACAAATTTGATGAATGATTATTTCCATCTCTTGCTATTTGTTGATTCTAAGTCACTAACTTTATTGATCTGATAGCTTTAGTCCAAATAATCAGATACAAATGATAATCAGTAATAAAGTATCGTGTTTAAGTTTATCTTAGGAAACATAAAGGTTGTGGTACATTACTGCATCGCTTTGAATAACCACACGGGGGCAGCAGTGAGCTTTAATAGCTGATCTGGAACCTGCTTTACGTGCAAGGAGAATAATTCATCCATTCAATGTTTACATGTTTGTCAAAAATCATCACTAGTTTTGCAAGTTAAGGATATATTATATAACCCCAACAAATATAAATATATACTTGGAAGAAACGTCAATGACTCCAAAATGACCCACAATGCATCCTGCTTACGGTAATGTCATCTCGCAGTATATTTGAACATTTTGCACATTTTTGGTTCAAACCATAGACTGTATATAAAAACCCGATCATATGCATGCAGGATAAAGTAAGAATTGGTCAGTACCTCTGTGCACACAGTAATGAACTACCCTCCTAGTTCTACCAAAGAGATGCATGACTTTAAATCCAGAATATAAATGTCAGAAGCATTTAAAGATTTAATGAAACTAAGAAAAGTGTCCCCTTAGTTTTTTATATTTCATTGATCTCATTTTAATATCCGAGGTGCATGACGTGCTCATATATTAATGATCGATGCTTTCTTGTGGATATATTTTAAAGCTTCATGAAGCGTCTCTGTAACTTGTGAGGTTTGAGAGAGACTTCAGCACAGCGTCATGATTTAAACATTTCAACTTCTACAGCAGAGCCGGTGGCGGAGCACAAAGAGAGAGGAAGAGGAGCACAAAGAGAGAGGAAGAGGAGCACAAAGAGAGAGGAAGAGGAGTTTCTGCACAAAAGATCAGAGGGAATAATACCTGAGAAATGGAAACCGGCCTCACGCCCAATTTATTACGATCAAAATCCCTGGATGTGTTAGTGCTGCAGGGCGAGGGACGAGAGAGAGAAGAAGAAGAGCAGGATGAAGAGGAGGAGGGTTTTCTCCCAGCCTGCACCTCTTTCATCTGTCTCATTAAAGCGTGGAGTGAAAGGGGGAGAAGTCGAGCCCAAGGACACCATGGGGAGTTTAGGGTGAGGAAGTAAAGAGAGGAGGATGTCAAACCTTCACTTTCCTGTTGTGTTCGGGTCAAATCTGACCGACTCGCCACCTTCCTCACCACCTTCCTCCATCAGAGGGACTGAGCTTTACATCGATCAGGTCGAGGCCTTATGATGTCATGTAAAAAAACACAACAATAAAGCCGTTATTGTTTGTAGCCTTTATTTAACCAGGTCAAATCCCATTGAGATCAACGATCTCTTTTTCAAGGGAGACCTGCAGCAAGTTGGTTACACATCAAAACAGAAAGCAAAAAGGACATCATACAACATAATTACAGGGGTACAAATTACAACCTATTCACAATGACAGGTATCAAATAACATGTCATCTATCCGAGCTTTAAAATGATGCAGGAACCCAAATGCTCAGTTTCAATATGTTTTGCAGAGTGTTCCAAGCTAGAGGAGCAGCGCACATAACAGCGTTAGAACCTAAAACAGTCCTAGCACTTGGCACATGTAATAAAAACTCATCCTGGGATCTCAGATGGCATTTTACGAGAAAATACAACGGGGTGTTTGAGCTGTAACCCTGTCACAGTGACGACAACAGACAAACAATTAAAACACGACAATGTAAACAAACAACATTTGAACATGTAAAGCTGCTGATCACCACTTTCATTTCTGTCTGAGTGAACTTTGAAACACCTCCGATCAAAACTGACCACTATAGTGAGTGAATGGGTAATTATGTTCATCCATCAGAGAGCACACACACACACACACACACACACACACACACACACACACACACACACACACACACACACACACACACACATCCACAACGATGTTGATTCTGGAATTGAGTGTGTATGCTTTGTGTATTCACTGCAGTCATTCATGTTCTGAACCACTAGTTTGGGACATCGTTTGCAGCTTCAAAGGGAGTCAGCCTGGGTCCAATGTGACCCGTTTCAAAAATGTTTTAATGTCTGGATAAAAGGTTTATTTTAGTGCCAGAAAAATAACATGTTTACTCGTATATTCTACATTTATCTAAGAGACAGGAATAATGATCGATTTCATTAGGTTTTGGATTGTATTCAAATATATGGTGGTCTTAGGGTTAGGGTCTTCTGGGGTAGGGTGAATTGCCCTAATGTGGGACATTTTTTGCATTTCAGACTTCTGGAATATATTGCGATATGAAGCCGATACAATAAATCAAAATCCAGTACCATTCTGAAATCCCCAGGATGTGTCCTAATCAAACCAAAAGAGAAAATGCAGATATTACACTCATAAAAGAAATGGTAGACATATCAGTACTCTTAGTGCCAAGTTGTCTCAGACAATCTGCTTTTCCTAATGTGGGACAGTTCTGTGCAAAATGTGGGACACTGAAAAGTCTGTTAAAAAGCCTCCGTCACCTTCATTCATGTAATAAAAACATCTCAGGTCAGTAACACTCAAAGCTAAATGTGCAATACCATGTTCAGCTATGTTACTATTTATAATGTTATTGTTGTTACAACAGAAGATGTTTTTCTTTCAATTGAAGTTAAATGCATCAGTCTGGTGCACTTTGAGGGCAAAATTAAGAGATTTATGGATACAGCTCTCAACACTCTTATGAAACAGAACTGTATATATTACAATAATCCTGTGATTGGACATTTGAGAAGTCATGTGATTTTGATCGCATGACATCACAGCTTGTGTTATCCCGTAATTTCATTGACTTTCATTTGTTTGCGGAAGACCTACACCCATTTGAGTTTAGGTGTCCCACATTAGGGCGTGTCCCACATTAGGGCAACTCACCCTACATTTTGTAAAATCTTTCAACTTCTTTATCCGTTTTTAACTCAGAAATGTTTGATTTTGTGTCAATGAGGTCTTTTGACCATACATTTAAAAAAACAAGAGCATCTTGTGGTAATAAGTAGGAATACAGCTGCCTTACAAGATGTGAGGTGATTATATTATAAACAGTCAAACTGGGAGGATAAAAGTGAATGGGAAGAGAACATACGGGTTCAATCAAATGTGGTGATGAGGTCAGAGAATTCAAATGAATGTCTGTATTTATGTATAATTTGCCGAGACTTAGAAGGAAAGGGTTAATGTATGTTTGAGCAAGAACGAGTAGATTTGAGTGGACTGTAAACTGAGGCGGTGGGGTTTTTGTGTACATGTTATATATTTGTAGAATAAATAAAAAGTTCTAAATAATGTGGTGATGTGTTTGTGTT